AGTTTGAGGTTTAAGGTTGAGGGTTTGGGGTTTGAGGGTCCAGGGTCAGGTTTTAGAGTTTGGGAGTTTTTGGGTTTGGGGTTTAGGGTTTGGAAGTTTGAGGGTTTAAGTTTAGGTTTGGGAGTTTTGAGGGTCAGGGTTTAGAGTTTGGGAGTTTTGGGTTTGCGGTTTTAGGGTTTGGAAGTTTGAGGGTTTAAGGTTGAGGGTTTGGGAGTTTGAGGGTCAGGATTTTAGAGTTTGGGAGTTTTGGGTTTGGGGTTTAGGGTTTGGAAGTTTGAGGGTTTAAGGTTGAGGTTTGGGGTTGGGGTCAGGGTTGAGTTTGGGAGTTTTTGGGTTTGGGGTTTAGGGTTTGGAAGTTTGAGGGTTTTAAGGTTGAGGTTGGGGTTTAGAGTTCCAGGGTTTAGAGTTTAGGAGTTATTTGGGTTTAGGGTTTAGGGTTTGGAAGTTTGAGGTTTAAGGTTGAGGGTTTGGGAGTTTGAGGTCCAGGGTTTAGAGTTTGGGTCATTTCCAGGTTTGGGGTTTAGGGTTTGGAAGGTTGAGGTTTAGGTTGAGGTTGGGGAGTTTGAGGGTCAGGGTTTAGGATTTGGGGTTTAGGGTTTGGGGTTTAGGGTTTGAAGTTTGAGGTTTAAGGTTGAGGTTTGGGAGTTTGAGGGTCAGGGTTTAGAGTTTGGGAGTTTTGGGTTTTAGGGTTTAGGGTTTGGAAGTTGAGGTTTAAGGTTGAGGTTTGGGAGTTTGAGGTCCCAGGGTTTAGAGTTTGGGAGTTTTGGGTTTGGGGTTTAGGGTTTGGAAGTTTGAGGGTTTTAGGTTGAGGTTTGGGAGTTTGAGGGTCAGGGTTTAGAGTTTGAGTTTTTGAGTTTGGGGTTTAGGGTTTGGAAGTTTGAGGGGTTAAGGTTGAGGGAGGTTTGGGAGTTTGAGGTCAGGGTTTTTAATTTTGGAGTTTTTGGGTTTGGGGTTTAGGGTTTGGAAGTTTGAGGGTTTAAGGTTGAGGTTTGGGAGTTTGAGGGTCAGGGTTTAGAGTTTGGGAGTTTTGGGTTTGAGGTTTAGGGTTTGGAAGTTTGAGGGTTTAAGGTTGAGGGTTTGGGAGTTTGAGGGTCCAGGGTTTAGGATTTGGGAGTTTTTGGGTTTGGGGTTTAGGGTTTGGAAGTTTGAGGGTTTAAGGTTATTTTTTTGGGAGTTTTGAGGGTCCAGGGTTTAGAGTTTGGGAGTTTTTGGGTTTGGGGTTTAGGGTTTGGAAGTTTGAGGGTTTAAGGTTGAGGGTTTGGGAGTTTGAGGGTCAGGGTTCAGAGTTTGGGAGTTTTTGGGTTTGGGGTTTCTTAGGGTTTGAAGTTTGAGGGTTTAAGGTTGAGGGTTTGGGAGTTTGAGGTCAGGGTTTGGGATTGGAGTTTTGGGTTTGGGGTTTAGGGTTTGGAAGTTTGAGGTTTAAGGTTGAGGGTTTGGGGTTTGAGGTCCAGGGTTTAGAGTTTGGGGTTTTTGGGTTTGGGGTTTAGGGTTTGGAAGTTTGAGGTTTAGGTTGAGGGTTTGGGGTTTTGAGGGTCCAGGGTTTAGAGTTTGGGAGTTTTGGGTTTGGGGTTTAGGGTTTGGAAGTTTTGAGGTTTAGGTTGAGGTTTGGGAGTTTGAGGTCCAGGAGTTTTAGAGTTTGGGAGTTTTGGGTTTGGGGTTTAGGGTTTGGAAGTTTGAGGTTTGAGTTGAGGGTTTGGGAGTTTGAGGGTCCAGGGTTTAGAGTTTGGGAGTTTTTGGGTTTGGGGTTTAGGGTTTGGAAGTTTGAGGGTTTAAGGTTGAGGGTTTGGGAGTTTGAGGGTCCAGGGTTTATAGTTTGGGAGTTTTTGGGTTTGGGGTTTAGGGTTTGGAAGTTTGAGGGTTTAAGGTTGAGGGTTTGGGAGTTTGAGGGTCCAGGGTTTAGAGTTTGGGAGTTTTTGGGTTTGGGGTTTAGGGTTTGGAAGTTTGAGGGTTTAAGGTTGAGGGTTTGGGAGTTTGAGGGTCCAGGGTTTAGAGTTTGGGAGTTTTTGGGTTTGGGGTTTAGGGTTTTGAAGTTTGAGGGTTTAAGGTTGAGGGTTTGGGAGTTTGAGGGTCCAGGGTTTAGAGTTTGGGGTTTTTGGGTTTGGGGTTTAGGGTTTGGAAGTTTGAGGTTTAGGTTGAGGGTTTGGGGTTTTGAGGGTCCAGGGTTTAGAGTTTGGGAGTTTTGGGTTTGGGGTTTAGGGTTTGGAAGTTTTGAGGTTTAGGTTGAGGTTTGGGAGTTTGAGGTCCAGGAGTTTTAGAGTTTGGGAGTTTTGGGTTTGGGGTTTAGGGTTTGGAAGTTTGAGGTTTGAGTTGAGGTTTGGGAGTTTGAGGGTCAGGGTTTAGAGTTTGGGAGTTTTTGGGTTTGGGGTTTAGGGTTTGGAAGTTTGAGGGTTAAAGGTTGAGGGTTTGGGAGTTTGAGGGTCCAGGGTTTAGAGTTTGGGAGTTTTTGGGTTTGGGGTTTAGGGTTTGGAAGTTTGAGGGTTTAAGGTTGAGGGTTTGGGAGTTTGAGGGTCCAGGGTTTAGAGTTTGGGAGTTTTTGGGTTTGGGGTTTAGGGTTTAAAAGTTTGAGGGTTTAAGGTTGAGGGTTTGGGAGTTTGAGGGTCCAGGGTTTAGAGTTTGGGAGTTTTTGGGTTTGGGGTTTAGGGTTTGGAAGTTTGAGGGTTTAAGGTTGAGGGTTTGGGAGTTTGAGGGTCCAGGGTTTAGAGTTTGGAGTTTTTGGGTTTGGGGTTTAGGGTTTGGAAGTTTGAGGTTTTTGAGGTTTGGGAGTTTGAGGGTCAGGGTTTAGAGTTTGGGAGTTTTGGGTTTGGGGTTTAGGGTTTGGAAGTTTGAGGGTTTAAGGTTGAGGGTTTGGGAGTTTGAGGGTCCAGGGTTTAGAGTTTGGGAGTTTTTGGGTTTGGGGTTTAGGGTTTGGAAGTTTGAGGGTTTAAGGTTGAGGGTTTGGGAGTTTGAGGGTCCAGGGTTTAGAGTTTGGGAGTTTTTGGGTTTGGGGTTTAGGGTTTGGAAGTTTGAGGGTTTAAGGTTGAGGGTTTGGGAGTTTGAGGGTCCAGGGTTTAGAGTTTGGGAGTTTTTGGGTTTGGGGTTTAGGGTTTGGAAGTTTGAGGGTTTAAGGTTGAGGGTTTGGGAGTTTGAGGGTCCAGGGTTTAGAGTTTGGGAGTTTTTGGGTTTGGGGTTTAGGGTTTGGAAGTTTGAGGGTTTAAGGTTGAGGGTTTGGGAGTTTGGGGTCCAGGGTTTAGAGTTTGGGAGTTTTTGGGTTTGGGGTTTAGGGTTTGGAAGTTTGAGGGTTTAAGGTTGAGGGTTTGGGAGTTTGAGGGTCCAGGGTTTAGAGTTTGGGAGTTTTTGGGTTTGGGGTTTAGGGTTTGGAAGTTTGAGGGTTAAGGTTGAGGGTTTGGGAGTTTGAGGGTCCAGGGTTTAGAGTTTGGGAGTTTTTGGGTTTGGGGTTTAGGGTTTGGAAGTTTGAGGGTTTAAGGTTGAGGGTTTGGGAGTTTGAGGGTCTAGGGTTTAGAGTTTGGGAGTTTTTGGGTTTGGGGTTTAGGGTTTGGAAGTCTTAGGGTCTAGGGTTGAGGGTTTGGGAGTTTGAGGGTCCAGGGTTTAGAGTTTGGGAGTTTTTGGGTTTGGGGTTTAGGGTTTGGAAGTCTTAGGGTCTAGGGTTGAGGGTTTGGGAGTTTGAGGGTCCAGGGTTTAGAGTTTGGGAGTTTTTGGGTTTGGGGTTTAGGGTTTGGAAGTTTGAGGGTTTAAGGTTGAGGGTTTGGGAGTTTGAGGGTCTAGGGTTTAGAGTTTGGGAGTTTTTGGGTTTGGGGTTTAGGGTTTGGAAGTCTTAGGGTCTAGGGTTGAGGGTTTGGGAGTTTGAGGGTCTAGGGTTTAGAGTTTGGGAGTTTTTGGGGTTTAGGGTTTGGAAGTCTTAGGGTCTAGGGTTGAGGGTTTGGGAGTTTGAGGGTCCAGGGTTTAGAGTTTGGGAGTTTTTGGGTTTGGGGTTTAGGGTTTGGAAGTCTTAGGGTCTAGGGTTGAGGGTTTGGGAGTTTGAGGGTCCAGGGTTTAGAGTTTGGGAGTTTTTGGGTTTGGGGTTTAGGGTTTGGAAGTCTTAGGGTCTAGGGTTGAGGGTTTGGGAGTTTGAGGGTCCAGGGTTTAGAGTTTGGGAGTTTTTGGGTTTAGGGTTTAGGGTTTGGTGTTTTCTTGCTGCTTGCAGGTAATTCGCGTGAAGCACAGACCTTCACCTCGGACTTTCAGTTCAAGTCATTTAAACATAAGTTGTCGTCTGGCAAAAGGGCACGTGTATTCTCAGGGGACCGCGCAACATGGTGGTGTGCCTCTGTTCCTTTCACCAAACCAGGTTACCCTCAAAAACAGGCGAGCCGCACACAACTGATCAAAGGCCAACTTCCCCTCGGTTGGCTTTTCAAGTGTGATTCTAGGATGTCTTGCATCCCAACCTGGCTTTGGGGTGTCCTGGGCAGGGCGTGTTCAAAATGGGGATCCCTCATCCGATTTTCCGCCCCAAACAAACAAGGGAAACCACTGCCGTTTATTTTTGAGCAAAAAAAGAAGAAGGATAATTCCCTGGGTTGCAGCCTGGAAATCAACGGGCTGAGAATGAACTCCTGGATCCGACTCCCAGGTCCCCTATAGAAAATCATGGTGGTGCTCGAGCTTCCCCCTAGAGAGTGGATCAAACAAGTGGCGCAGAACCGTTCAAGCATTTGGGAGTGGCCCGATGTGTGATTCACATGAACGGTGAAAATGATGATGCGGTGTCCTGCAACCCTCTGCCTGGTTCTGGGGAATCTAAAACTCCTCCATGTTCCGATGCCCAAGTTGACCGCTGATTTGTTTTCAACTAATCTCAAGCGTTGCACTTGGTCTCTAAATGGGGGAACCCATTTAAAGTTGGGCACATTCCTTTTGATTTCTATTCGGACACCCCTTTGGGTACCCTCAAAACTGGACACCCCCACATGCCTGCATCGTGCGACCCGGCTGCACTCATGGATTCGATTCCCAAGCCCGGCCTATACCTGTCGATCTTTTCCTCGGACTTGGCCGGGGTGATTGTCACCTTGGCCTCGCAGCTCTTGCGATCCAAGCCCTTTTCACATCTAAACCCAATCAGCCCTCAGCAAGGCCTCAGCCAACCAGCAGCAGCAGCAGCAGCAGCAGCAGCAGCAGCAGCAGCAGCACCACCACCACCACCACCACCACCACCACCACCACCACCACCACCCAAGGAGCCACCCTCTGGTCGTAATGGGAGTGTTGTCTTTTGGGATTGGCTTTTCAGGGAAACCAAAACCAAAGCGAAACCATGCATTTCGGAGAAATGAACCTAATTTTGGCACAAGCCTACATGTGCCATGATCCGCCATCCTACCACCCAAAGTTGCAGTGAAGACAAACATGAATTGAATATAAGTTGGTGACTCTGTGGAGTTTTGTTAAATGGCTTCTTGCTCGGCCACACGGTTGGATGACGGCAGTCTCCAGGATCCAAACAACAGATCCCCCATTTTGGGAAACACCCAATCTCTATCAGCCCATCTCTCTCTAGCTCTCTCGTGTGGGTATTGCTGCACAAACAGTTCGACTGGTTGCTGGTCAGTTTGGACAACTCGCTCCTCCCAGAAAGAAAAGCTGAATGTAACGATTCACAAACCTGTAAAGGAAGTGAGTGCGGCTTAATTTGCGAAGCAGAAATTTGGTGGCAAAAGCAAGTCAAGTCTCAATCTCTCTCTCTCTCTCTCTCCCTCTCTCTCTTCCCACCTTGACCTGCTTCGGGTCAGGGTCCTCGTCTGCAGAGACCTGCACCTCAGCATTGGCAAAATGTGTCTTCAGTCTTCAGGTACCAAAAACCCGTCCCCCTTCGATGCATCCAAAAAACAACCTGCCTTGCAAGGGGATGTTGAACTTGGCACCATGTATCCTTCATTGGGACATCACCCGATCCAAAATCCATAAATTTGACCAAAATGGTGTTGAACCGTTAAACAAGGGAAGTGGTGTTGAACCGTCAAACAAGGAAAATTCCACCACCCCTCAAGAGATTGCTCCGTATTTGCCTGGCGGGAACGCAAAGAAGATTCATACATATGGGTATGAACTTCAATCAGGAACCCTTTGGTGGACATCATTTATGCGGGGATTTATGTTCACAATCCACTTTTCAGGGTTTTCCTTATTTCAAGCCATATTAATATATACCCACCTCAAACCGCCGCCAGCTTTGGGCCATTTGCTTGGCGTTCCGCTGAATTGGCTCCTTGGGGCGCCGAGCTCCTTGAGGACAGCTCTCCTCATCTGGTCTGATGCAGGCCTTGGTCTTGTCCACAACCTGCATGCCGGGGGTCGCCGGTTGCCTTCTGCGTCAGGACGCAAAAAGCTAACCAAACAGCAAAGCAAACCAATAATCAACCCAACCAACAAACCCAACCAACCGAAGAACCAACGCAACTCACCCACCCACCCAAACAACAAACAAATAAGCAAACAACCTACCCATTCTAGTAAGACATGCTTCAAAACCCTCCAAATGGCGGCTTCAAACCGTGATGTGCGACATGCAGTCCTTGAACAAAGGTTGCGCTATCAGCAGAGAAACGTCAACTGGTTAGGTGCAGGAAAGGGACTCTTCCGGCCAAAGAGTGCGACTGGTGGTTTGAAGGGAGACCAACTCCAAGAGTCATTTTGGATCTTGGTTCAAAGGCCCTTGGCCCTGAGCACCGACAACGTCGGCTTGGACATTGAAAAAACATGGGGTTTCGGAGCGGTCGCCGAGGACTGTCAAACGTGTTTCTGGTGAGTGGCGAAATGTCCCATGCCTTAGTCCCCCCATGGTGGTCAGGCATGGGTGGTCAGGCCCCACAACGAGTGGACCCCCGAAAAGCAATGCGCAAGGATCGCAGATATTTGCCCCAAAAAAGACGGCCCTTGCTGGTCGCTTTTTGGCCAAGGTTGCGGGGCCCAGAATGGGCCCTGGACCATAGGATTTCGTCTGGGCTTGCCTCGTAGAACGCGGCAACAGAAGTCCCAAACCCGTGGTCCCACGTGTGCCGACTGAAGAGTTGCAGGTGCCCATTGAATGGGAAACCAAAGGGTGGGCAAAATTACTGGCTACTCCAGAGGCACGAGAAGCTCGCCCTCCCCAACATATGTAGAGACTATCTGTACTTTGTTAGCTGAAACTTGAAACAGTTGAAACCACTTGGTGGCTTGAACACGTTTCAACACGGGGCACGCCACGGCCAAAAAGACGCAATCGTGCTTTTGCGCGGGATCAAAGGCGCAAGGACGGAAGTCCGACACTCCCCCGAAGAACACCAACAGTGGCCTCGCCAAACGTCAGTGACATCGGGTGCCCCCTGCAAAGGCCTGTCACATATCCTAGGTCCTCCATGAGAGAGGTTAGAATAAGGGTTGCTTTCTGCACCTCCGCTAAAAGTTTAACTTTTTGTGGTTTCATATCGGAAACCCATTAGTTGGCAAAAAGTTGAAGTCCTAACATCCAAGCAAAATGCAACAAAGAAAAGGGCAGCAACAAAGGGCACTGCAACCACCCGAAAGCCGCCCTGCTTCAACATCGCTCCGCCTGCAGACTCACCGGCGAAGGATGTTCGCCGAACTCGTTCCTCGACCAACAAACACTACGCGCGTCCAAGGTGGTGTGAAGCTTCCGAAGAATCCGGCGAACATAAGAATCAGGGCCGGGAAATCCCCTTTTGATGAGTAGCCATTCATTCGAGGGGGGGGAGGGGGGCTCAGATTGCAGTCTCCGGATCAATCCGAAGTAAACGCTACGCTTTGAATGCGAAGGCTTTTCTGTGTGGCGGAAATGTCAGGATTGCACACTGCACTCGGAGGGAACAAAACCGTATCAGCCAACAGGAGTCAGACCATTGGGCAGCAAAAGCGAGGGATCCTAGCTTCCAATTGGCTGGCTTCATGCTCTCCGTTTGAAGGGACCCAAAACCCACAGTCTTTTGAGGGTCTTTCAAACATGATGTGATTGGTGGTGTGTTGGGTTGACAAGTTCTTGTTTCACTTCAAGTTGCTTCTTGCCCAGCCCGTGCCATCGATTATCAACTGCTCGCCCTTTCTGGAACACCAACGGCAGTTCCCAACTTGGATTGACAAACTGGTTCGGAGATCCTTCACCTCTCTCGGGCGGCCTGTTGCGGGCTTGACACCTCGATTTTTAGGGGCTACCACCTCCATTTGCCACGGTTTGGATTGTTCGAGGCCGGGTCCCAATTCGTTTCAATAAGAAGCAAGTGCCCAGATCCCCAGCTCCCACCAATTCCAACCACCAATCAAAGGTTGCCTGATTCAAAACCAGAAGGAAGCATTATCCCATCAGCAAGAAATCAAGGAAAATATTTAAATCGCCCCAAAGAAAGGAAACATATTAATAAGGACCCCTGCCAGGAAAACCGAGACATCTCGCTGCAACCACTAGCTACTTGGGGGCCTTTCTAACCCAACCCCGAATCCAAGCGGACCCCTTTAGCACACAAGTGGGGGTGTCTTTTTGAGGTTGTCCTTCCGGCTTCCCCTTACAACCAACCAAACGAGAGTTCCCCAAAGTTTGCTCAAAAACCAAATGCTTACCTCAAGGATGGCACCGTTCCCAAGTCTAAACGGAATCGGTACAAGTTGGTACGTTTGTCCGTACGGGAAACCAAAGGAAACCAATGACCAACTTTCTAGCCTGGTGTTTTGAGAGCCGTTTTGGCCAAATAAGGCCAAGTGGGAAGGGGGGGGTTCGAGGGGACGGTGGGGTCCTTGAACTGTTGACCTTCACTTGCTTGCCCACAAAGTTGCAAGTAACCCACAGAAAAATACGGTACAAGCAAGCAGGTTTCCCCCCTCTAACCCTCTGATCGCCTTCTACTCTCTAACCATCACCAACCCCTGGGCGTCTTTTTTGGAGGGCACCCCTTCGCTCGCGGAAAAAGGAGACCCGGCTCCATTTTGCGGCGCCCAAGGCAGGGCAGGAACGCTGGCTGTGTCAAAACAAAGGGAAACCCCTGGCGAACATCAGAAGAGGTGGCAAGTGGGATGTTCATCCCAACATGGGATCGCCACAGGTGATGCAACCCATGGCCAACTCTTCACTTGCGGCTAAAGGCCCTGGCTTGGAGAACGCCAGCACGTACGAAGCGCCGTCCGGCGGCCTCGATGCAGTTGTCTCCAAATGGATGGATCTCAAAGTGGATGGTTTCAGCTCGGTTTCCGTTTAACAAGCCCAAACAAACTCCGACAAATCTTAATGCTTTCCCTTTGGTGTCCCGTTAACACATGCCAGCAACGCCAAAAAGAGGGCTGGGACACGTAGCTTGACCCTGAAAAAGGCTCTGAGATGTCAAGGAAACGCACCCCAGCCAAATATTCCGATACATTCTGTTTTTGCTGTCTGTGGGCACGCACCCAGAAGGTGGTGAATTTCTTTTCAAGAGAGGGTGTTTCAAGGCTGGAAGGACTCACCAGTTCTCTCTGGACCTGGGAAACGAGGCTGGCCGTTGGAGCCGCAACTCAAAACGCTGTCCGAAACTGGCCAACAGAAAGGTCAGGCCAGATTTGGCCGGGCGAGAGGAACTCACCCCCCTACTGCCTCCGTCAGTGAGTCCCCGGTTTGGACGACGCAAAAACGGCGCGGTGGCCACGTGTCTGGTACTTCGCCCGGACTAGGCGAAACGAATTTAATTCAAAGACCTAGCACAACTGGATGGGTGTGTCCCATTCTTGGGGTACAATGTCTCCGCTGACTCCCGACATTTGCCATGCTTCGCAGTTTTGTTGCCATTTCAGCCAGGCATCTGCTCCACCGACGCAGTTGTTTCGGGTGGATCTGCTTTCCCACCTCTGGCTGGAAATCATGCACCATGCCCAACATACCTCACGCTCCTGCCACCAGGCACCATAGACTCAGAACAGGCTGGGATCTGAGAAAACAAAAATGTTGATATTCATCGCTGATAGTAGCTCGCGTATGTCGCCTTTTTGTGAGATGCTCCTGTCCTAACCTGTCCTATTGTCCGTGGCTCCAACTGCTCAACCCCGGCAGATTCCAGGTACCCAGGAACATACACTGGCTATCCCAGCTCGCGGAACTTATCGCGGGGGTACCGTCAGACACCGGGATCACCGGAATCCCTTCCGCTGGGAGAGGCGCTTCTGCGAGGATAGCCAGTGCGAGACATCCTTGCCTTCCTGGCGAACAGAGGAAACAATTGCGGACCATGCCCTGCAATTCTCAGGGTTTTTGGATTACACCCTGGGATTACTTGGGAAATGGCCCAGAATGGTTCAAAATAACACGGCTTTATCCGGAAATGTGCTTAAATGGGGTCAATACCCGGTGGGTGTATTCCCAGGGTGTAATACAAACACCCGTAGATGCAATCGACTTGGCTGTGTCAAAACGAGACCCTTGAAAGCGTGCTTTCTTTCTTCCAGCAGCGGGCGAAGAGAACAAATTTTGGGAAGATTGCCAATCGAAAATAGTCATTGTATGCCTAACACACGCGACCAGACATGAGCTGCTTGCCCGTACTGACCACTGAAACTGATATGTCGGGTTGGAACCTGGAAACCAGAGGGCAAGAAGGCGTGTCAGAGCCTTCTGGTTGACCCCACATTCATCAACCCGGTGGATAAATAGGGTAACCCCTACCCGGGTCTCCATCAATGCACCCAACTCATCCACGGGTCATCAACGAAGCAGGTTTCGTGTTGGCCCGCCGGAAGTGGCGTTCATGTTTAGAAGCGAAACAACCCCAAATCAGATGCCACCCAATCTCGGGTTTTACACCAGGCGAAGGGCTCCTTTCCAGTGAGCAGCACCCCAAGCAGAACGTGAGAAAGCGCATGTGTTTGTGACACCAGCACTGAACGCCAGCCTCTTTCCTGACATCGCTAATGAAAGAGTTCTGGGCTGTCTTCCTCGCAGGCATCGCACATGGTTCAACTTCGCCATTCATTTGCTGAATGGAAATGCACCCGTGTGTGTGTGTGAGCATGCTTAGGTGTCACTATCTACGTGTATCTGCATGTAGGTTTGTTTGTCTGTCTCCCCGTCTCCGTCTCTTTCTGTCTGCCTCATGTGTGTTGGAATCCAAGGCTCTCACTGAATATGTGTACAAATGTTTTTTGCATCAATGTAAAGATCCCAATGATGCGTGACATGTATCTGCGTATGAAATGTATGCGTGGGTGAGGCCGGATCACCAATTTCAATGTAATGTCATGACATGCAACTTAAGAAAGAGTGTAATTCAATACCCCAAAACAGCAGGCCCAAGTCATTGATCACACAGTCCCCTAGAAGAAAGGAATGTCAACTATCTCTGGGCAACGTCTGACAAAAAACGGGGGGGAAGCAGATTTTGAATCAGGGGCCAAAATGCACTCAACTGCAGGTTGTGGACTCAATGGCTATCATTCTGATTCCGATGTGCTGCTGCCTGGTGAGATCAACAAAGCGCAACCGCATGGCATTCATAAGCGTGAGCTGCAATTTCAGCAGAAGCTGAAGTTTGACTCACAGCCTCATGAACTTGCTGTTGTTTATCATATCCATTGTTCACTGACCAAAGTATAGCCATCAGTTTCTCAAAACACAACCTGAGCAATGGTTTCCTCATCGCATCTGGCACTGGCGAAAGATTCCCTAGGAGAACCGTGCAGGGTGTTCCCTAGGTCAGGGCAGCTCAAAAGGGCAGGCCTAAGGAAAAGAAAAGAAGGTTGTTTTGAAGACGCTGCAGGACAAACAAAACAAGGTTGTTTAAACGATGGTGGTGTCAACACCTTGAAACACGGGGCTCGCAGGTCCTTCTTTACTTTGGCGGAGTGCGTGCCAGCGAACCAAAAGAGAAAGCAACAAGACTCTGAAAGTTCTGGAGAAATCATGCCCTAATCAAGGGGAAAACGGTCTTCTGTCTCAAGATCATGTTAGTGAGTTCTGACCCTGTGAAAATGTGTATGCATATGCGTGAGGGTGATAAGCCCTACGGAATCTATCAGTCCTGGTCGCAGATTTGCCCCAGTGCAGCGAATACTCCGAGATCTGGCGAGGCTTGGCCATAGGTGTCCTTTTTGGAAAACAGATGGCCCTGGTAGATGATCTGCCACTTTGCTGAGAGCATACTGCATCCTTTCAGAATTGCCTCAAGGTAGTATTCCCAGCCTGCGAGGCTTGCCAACACCTTACCAAGGCCTTAAGACCCAGTGGAGGCATCCTTTCCGGGGCATGGGTTGCCAGCAAGAACAAACCAGACGTCAACAAGGTCTCACTCGAGACTTCGCATGAACCCATGGTACCGAAACTGCCTGGTCAGAGGGTGTCCTTCCGGGTCACCTTGGTATGGACCTCAGAAAATCGTCGGTTCTGTTTTTGGTGTCCCTTTAAACAAAGGGTACCCCCCCCAAAAAAAAAAAAAAACGCCCGAGCCGCGCCTTGAGGCAAGTTGGCGCCCGCAAGACCGAAAGCCACTTTCGGGAAGGGGAAACATGTCCTGCCCTGCCACCGGGTGCCCCGTGGTCTGTTTTGGGGGGCACAACTGTCAGAGATGAACTCCTGTGACCCACCGATTCTTAGAACCGATCTGGCAACTGTTCGGGGGACTGCTCCCAAACATCCAAATCTTGCAGTTGGGCAGTTGGCGCCCCTCTAAATCTTTCGGGCGGACTTCCCTCATGCGAAATAATAATAATAATAATAATAATAATAATAATAATAAAGTGTCCAATTGGGTATTTCCCCCACAAATTGAGCGGAACAAAGACGGTTCCCATTCATTTCAATCGGGTGATCCCCGTTGAGGGAACCCTCATGCGGCAAAAAATGCGAATCAAAAGATGGTTCCTTGCACGGGGTGAAACCGATGATTCCTACACCCACCTTTTGCTTCGACCCTTGTTACAGCCCCCCCCGGATCTGCCCACCAAATGTTCCACGCCGCCTTCTGCTCGTCTGCTGCTCTCAGGACGGTGATGCGGCCCCGGACCTCTGGAAGGGGCAGCACGAGAGTGCCCCCTGTCCATGTGGCTGTGGCTCAAAAGCGTGTACCAAAAATGGCCACCTTGGTGTACATGTAAAGGCAACCGCAGTACTTTTGAGCCACGCCCATGTAAACCCACCCCAAGAGCACCCTGAAAAAGCGCTGAATATCATATCTATACCAAAACCACGTGCTCGGTGTCTGAGCAAGACATACTGAGTAGCTTACGTCCCCTTGCAGAAGGCCATGGGAGAAAAAGCACCCGAGTTTGGGACGATGCACCTGGTTTCCTGGGATTGAACATGGAACAAGGAGGAAAAAACGATTTGTAGACTAGGTCCTCCAGTAGAGAGGTTAGAATAAGGGTACCCTTTCTTCTGTAGTCAATTTTCGTAGGGGAACCCTCCCCCAAAAATGGTTGAAAGGGCACTACTGGGGGACCTAGTAGAGGGACCTAAGTTGAAGTCCCGGCCCCTTTTCAGAGTTCCAGGCGATGAGTCTGAGCGCCAAATTTCTGAGAGGAAAGCCTTCGGAATCAAGCGAACCCAATTCCTGTGTGGTGGGGATGACTAAGCCAAACTGAGGGAAATGGTGCGGACCAAAACATGAGGAATGGCAGCCCTCCAAATCCTGACCATCGGTACAAGCCGTATGTTCGGGGGGTTGACCAGACCTCACGGTTGAGACCAAGGCCAAAAGAGAAACGGGGCGACGGGCACTCATGGCACGTCCATGATGGGATTCCAGGAGTACTGAACCCCTGGGGTGCAGCCCTCTATTGGGGATCAAAAGGATCACTTGGTGGAGTCGCAACGCCCTAATACTCGATCAGGATGATTGATCCCCTAAAGTTCTCTCCAGAAGGGAAATAGGGTCCTTCTGCAGTAGCGGGGTTAATGTCCACCTAGGATGAAAGATCGAGCCCGAATTAAAGAAGAGCGGGTGGTTCGAGAAGACTTAAGACGGTACCTGGAAAAAAAAGGCAAACACCCCACCCGGCAACCCCAAGAAAACAAGGAAAACAAATAACCCCGAAGAATCAAATGCACCCAAAAAAATGCCCCAGACTCTATTTCAGGGGCCCATACGATGAAGTCTTAGCCTGCCCCTGCCAAAGCTTCAGGCTTTTGGTTTGGGGCTCCCAAGAATCCAAAATGGTCAGCTTTCCCAAACTCATCTTTTCTTACGTGTTTCTTGTAAAAAAAAAAAAAAACTGCCCGCAATCAAACCCACAAAGGGGGTAGGTACGTCGGGCCCAAAACTTGAGCCTAAGACTTCAAAATTCAGGGGCCCTAGAATAAAGCCGTCCTATCTTGACACATGCCCACATGATCTTGCTGGTTCTCGGTAGGGAATTCACCCAAGGGGTTTGGGAATGAATCCGGCGATAAAGGAAGCCATAAGGGATGGTCCAGTTCAATGTAGCCTTTAGTGTCCACCTGGGCTCAGCAAGGAGCCCCAAGCAAAGGAGGCTTTTGCGGAGATTCCTTCTTGAACTTGGATTTAGTATTGCTGGAGCTTGCATTGAGATTTGCATGAGGGCCTCCCTTTAGAGAGGCCCAGGAAAGGGCCTCTGTACCTGCAAAAGAGCATAAAAACTCACATGGTTCGAAGTGCAGAGTGCCATGTTTGATGAGACTGCGATTGCAATTCCGCGGTGCCGTCTCATCAGAAGGGCAACCATCCACACATAAGTGTCCTTTTTGGGAAAATCGACGGCCCTGGTAGTTCATTGAACCACCAAGTAAGCCAGGAATCGCCCCCTATGTCTTATCCAAATCAACCCACAAAGGACACCAATGCATCCACATCTGGCTTCTGGATCCGGGGAAAAAGAAAAAAGAACAAAAGGCAGCTCTGCAGTCTGAGCTCTTTGCCATGTCCTTGCCGCCATCCTCGTCCTCGAACAGGAGGCCGCCCGGCTTTGCCTGCCAGCTAGCCGATCGGCAACCTGGCTGCCTCCAGATTCCATGAGGAAAACATGGTAGCCCCATTTGGTTGGTAGTGGAAAAAATGGTAGCCCCATTTGGTTGGTAGTTGAGTTCAAACAACAACTTCCCAGAAGGATGCAAAGCAAAAGGAAAAGGGGCACCTCCAATCACTTTAAAGGGCCTTGAGGTGATTTCAACCAAGGTTTTGCGAAGACAAACCCAGGGGAGAGATCCTCACAGCCTGCAAGATGCGTGCAAGGAGCACCCCTCCCACGCTGCCATGAAATCTGACAAAGGGAGGGCATCAAAAGACGATATTCCTTTAAACCAACCCTTAAAAAGATCGCCGGCATTGGTACATGAACATACATCTTCTCTTGGCCGTCAAGGGGGCCCAAAACGGGGACTATATTAGTTGCTGTTTGCCCCCATTGGGATAATATGGCTTTAATATGGGTGGATGTTCCTTTGGTTTCCCTTCTAACCAACCATTTGGTCAAAACATGGTACCCTTCATGGCACCTGGCTTTCTCGGAACAAACCACCAAGACCTGCCAACCCCAGCTGTGCCCATTTTGGGGGACTGACCGATCGCCTTGGGCAGCGCCGCATCGCGCAGCAGCGCGGAGCCCGGGCTCGAGTACCTGCGAAGCGCCGTGCCCTGGAACCTGAGGGGTAGAACATGTCCTCCAAGGGACTGTCTGGTGGGATCCATGGAGGGCAACTCCTTTTCCGGCTTCCACGCGAGGGTGTTCAACTCCCTGGAGGTTAACATGGGCGTTGAAAAAAGTTGGGGGAGCCCCGGATCAGCACCTAGCCCAAGGCGCGGGCTAGAGCCCGGCAACGTCTCTTCGGATTCAGCGAGAGCAGTTGACATGTTTCAGGAACCTTCTTCCGGTTCAGTCTCCCCACGCAGCTCGAGTTAGCCCCGACGTCACGCTTCTTGGTTCGTTGTCTTGAGTCGATTTTGCTTTTTTGGGTGGTTCCGTCAAAGAGCATGTCAGTCAGTGACTGACATGCTCTTGGACGGAACCCCAAAAACCAAAATCGACTCAAGACAAGGAGCCAAGAACCGTGACGTTGGGGCTCCGAGGAACGCTTTTGGCACGGCAACTGCGAGCTTCCTCAAAAGTCTCGTGCAAGCCTTGTTGGTGGGGGAGGGGTTTCACCCAAAGAATGCGTGGGTGTGTCTTGTTTTGAGGGTACCATTTCACAGGTTGGTTGTAGGAAGCCAAAAGGAAGACCACCATTTTGGGGTCCCAACAAAAAAAAAGGCACACCCACCTGACTCACTTTTGGTGTCCTAGCTCCGAAGGGGAGCCTCTGATACATCCATGTCCCTTTGGGCGTGACCACATTTCCTAGCTCTGAAGCAACCGGCCAGCTTAGCGCCGCGCTCCCCGTAGGCGTTGCGGGAAAAGACCAGAAGGTGCGTGGCACCTCACTGGTCCAAACCAAAAGGGAACTAACCATGGTGGGTGCCAAAATTAGATTGCCCGACTTGTGTGTGTGTGTGTTCCTTCTGCTTTCCTTTTCTAGCAGTCCAAACAGAGTGGGGGGGGGTCTATTTGGGGAAACACTACAAAGATCAATGAAATCGCCCTAGGGGCATGTTAGATCAGCCGCCAAACAAAGGCCAAGTGGGATCTTTTCACCAGCCATCCGGGCTCAAAAAATATCAGTGGCCATTTGGAACCTCCCGCGCAAGGCGCCTTCCGGGATTTTGCTGTTCGCTGGAATTCTCAGCTCCAGGTCGGTCCCGGCCGCATTCACCTGAAAGCGAAGAAGTCGCTCCTCGAAAAAACAAGGAAACTCGTGTTCAAAATGGCCCAAAAGCCGCCTTTTTTGGCTTCACATGTCGACCCAGTCGGAATAACCACCCGTTTTTGCCACTCCTCTCGGCAGTCCCTTCAACCCTGTACTTAAATGTGCACCCTTCTGGTGTGACCCCTGGCAAATGAAACCGAAACGGCTCACGTTTTGGTGGGCAACCCAATCGGGGTTGCCCTTTTTCGGGGGAAGCCCCGACATGGGCGGCTGCCCTACATCGGCTTCCTTCAAGCGAGTCAACCCTTGTTCGAATGCTTCGAAAAACCTTACCTCCCCTCGGTTCCTTTCAAGCCCAAAAGTTGATTTAAGGAGGCCAGCCAAAAGCAGATTTCAACAAATGATGGCAACTTCCCCCTTGAAATTCTTCCCGTTCCGCAAGCCCAAAAACCCCTCGAGCCCTTCGCGTCTACCGCCTGGCCTCCCCCAGAAGAAGCTCCTTCCCATCGGACTCAAGCTTCGCGGTGTCGCTCTGCACGAGAGAGACAGGTGTCTTTTGTTTAGGGGACCACAAGCGCCGGTTTTCCTTTTGGATTTCCTTTAAGACCAGAAAATCAAGGGGAACATTTTTTGGAGAGCTCCAGTCCATTCCGTTTGCGGACTTCAAGAGGTCCGGCAGCGTTCCCAAACACATGTTGGAGGGATGTGCCTTTGAGCCATGCATTTGTTGCTTCCACCATCGAGAATCAGTGGAACGTTGAGCGGGACCTGAGCCAGAGTCTGGACATGCCTCTCCCCAGTACCCTCAGGACAGTGCGCTAGGTCCTCCAGATTTGAGAGGTTAGAATAAGGGTACCCACCTTTTTTCTGGACGTCGGTTTGAATAGGGGAACCCTGGGAATCCTCCCAGCCAAACAAGAAACGGTACAAGAAACGGCACCAATTGCTGGGGGACCCTAGGTGCAGATCCGAGGTTTGGAGGCGCAGATCTTTACGAGAGCTGAGCAACGCCATTATGAGAACCCATGGACTTTCTCTGCCGTCATGAAAGGTTTCTGTCATTCAACCTGGTACCTCCTGCCAAAAATGGCCACTGGGAACTGGAGGTCTCACCGCACACTCCCAGCCTTGCCCCAGTACACGGCGTAGGTGTCCACGTCGAAGTCATTCCTGGCCTCGAAGATGAGAAAAATGGCCAACGAGTCCCTACCTTGACAACTTTGTTTTGGATCAGTTGGTAGGTGACGTATCCCAAGCTATACCCACATGCTAATGCAACATTTCATTGAGTCCACACGAAAGTCTAGTGTTTTGCGTCCCTGCCACCAACACTTTCCAACCCTGGTCATGTTAGCCAAAAAGCGTTGCTTTTTGCTGCAGCACCAAAACAGGAACAGGAGTCAAAGGCGAAACACGTTCTAGAAGCATCAACAGTGAAGGACGCGTAGTGTTCCCAAATGTCCGAGAAAACGAAAAAAACATGGGTACACTCTCAAGGGTATAGGACATGGCTGGTTGCCAACCCTGCTTTTTGTTTAGACCTCCTTGTGGGGAGGGGTCGGAAACAGCAAGCCTGAAAGGGGCGGCCGCTTGGTATGTCGAACAACCTTCCCGGTCCATAGTATGTCAGCGCAAAACAGTCCTTTGCAGCCCCCCAATGAAGATGAATACAGCCAATGCAGTTGGGTTCCGCCGAGGGTCATTTACCAAAAGGGCTATTTGCCGACACCTGGCATGTCCGACAAACAAACAAAAAAACTTGCCCTTTGCATTCCCCTCCGAACAAAAACATACAGCGTAAAAAAAGTTAGAGTTTGATGAGAAGATCCTGTGGTGGACATCATTTATGTGGTCCACCTACCACTTTGCAAGGCGTTCCATGGGTTAGTCTCAAAGCGCAAACGGGAGTGGTGGTATCCTTTTGGGCTTCACGAGAAAACTCTCCAAACAAAAAGTCACACCCATATGATCTTGGGAACAACGTTATTTGTTGCGCAAGAGGACAAAAGGAAAATTGTGTTGTCCCCCTTTGTCAAAATTTGGGCTGTCCCGAGATTTCCCCAAACCAACATGAGACCATGAATTGTATCAGTTGTTCATAGGCCAAATTACTGCTCCCAAACTGGCAAGGGAACCCCTCAACAAGGGTGTAATCAACCGCAGCCGGTGCTTCTCCCTGGATGAAATGTGGTTGGACAAAGTTGGAAACAGACCACTTTTGGAGGGGCCCCTCAAACCGCCCCACTCATAAACTGGTTGATTCACATGGGGTCAACTCATCAGGTCGAACAAAATTCCTTCGCCTTATGAATCTTCACCTCCCCGCTGAGCTGGTGCTCGTCCATGTCGGCATCCTGACGTTCCCAAACCAAAGTTAACTAAAGGGACGGGACCCACCTATGTGTCAAGGGAAGCCAAAAAGGAACGACGCATTTTGGTTTCTGCTCAACTTCTGAAAAACCAAAATGGCTCCAAAAAAGCGCAAAGGGGGACATGTGGCTACAAATGGCTATATCGGACCCCCTGTAGTCCGTGCGAAGCCTAAAGATACAGTGATTTCAAATGGCTGTGATCATAAACAAAAGCCGAAATTCGTCATGATGCAAGTCTTGTACTCAAAAAGTGTACCCGGACAACTATGTAGAGAATCGACAACATGCCATACCCATTTGTGCGCACCGGATTGTCATAGTGGCTCAAAAGTATAGCCATGTTTGGATCGCTTTAAAGGAAAGCAATGTTTAGCAAAATATTGATGTTCACGCTTCTGGTTGAAGTATAACAATGCGCCAAATGAAAATAAGGATTTCATGTAAAGGCGACTCAACCGCCTTTGTGAGGTCACACATTCGCGAACTGTTTAGCTTAGAAAACCAAAAGGAAACCAAAGACGCTAGTCCAACTAGACCTGCGATGGAAGGGGCCCCCACACCCATGGGACCTTCCAAAGAAACCTTGAGAGTTGGAATGGTCTTGGGTGTCTCATGGGGTCCTCGGCCCAATCGCGGTGTGCATGAATGAGACTTTCCTACCACACGGCCATATGGAAAGGCAAGTTCTGCTGCATAAATTCCCTATATAACTCTTCTCTCTCCATGAAACTCCGTTGGCTGGGATTACACAGTCAGACTAGATGAAAGAGCCACAAGGCTAAGACACGATTTTCATAGCAAAAGCAAAAAGGAAAGACAGGTCGCCAAACGAAAGCTAGGAAAGCCTCGGCCAAATGCATCTGGGCCTAGGGCCCTAACCTCCGCAGAAACGTACCAATGAGAAAACCGGGCAGATCCGATGCCTCTGGCGATCATAACCTGCTAGACGGAATAGACAAAGGAAAATCGCTGAGTCTCTGCCAAACCCCTGTTCACCCACAGGCTACTGGAAATCTGCAGCGAATCTTATGTTGGTCCGTATTCCGCAAAGTGGATGGCACTGGCTGAAATCATTTGCCCACATGAGAAACTATGCTGATGTCAGTTCGGACATGTTTTTTGACTGTTGCTCAAATCGATCCAGGTTGGTGTCGAGCCCGGGAAACCACTCGTGTTGCACAAATTGAAATGAAACTCAGAGAAATGAGAAAATGGGTTTAATGCGGGAACCCAACAAATGGTTGGTCGCCGGTTGGTTCTGTTTAACACCCACCAAAAGGGGGTTCCCCCAAAAAAAAGACGAGCCACCCAAATGCCATCATCCACCACTTTGGCTCTCCGTTTTCACCCCTGGCCCAGGCCAGGCCTGGAAGGTCAATGATGCCTTCGCGCGATCGAAACGTGATGGGGGCTGGGGGGAGGGGAGGGGGAAATAAGACCCTACGGGTGTATTAAGCCTTGCAGTATTTGGGCTCCCCTTTCCTCCCTCGCCCCCAGCCCCCATAACGCAAGGCCAGGTCAGCACATCGTTGTAGAACCAAAGAACCCCCACCTGTTGGAAAGCGAAAGCGGTTGCACAGTGTTTTGAGAATGTATCGAACTCATTGTCACAGCCCTGATCAATTCCAACTCGCTGAGAGCTGCCGCAAAAGCGCAGGGAGCTTGCAGAACCCAAGCAAAAACAACTCAGACAAGACTCGAAAGATGGCTTTCACAATAACAGGTGTCCAACAGGCACTGACTTAAAGCGAGAGGCGCAAAGACTTGCTCAATTCACTGCCCAAAACGCAAGTAGAGACGTGTGCTTTATTTGGGTATGGGTCAAAATTAAACCACCAGGATATGGACCGCAGGTTTTGGTCCATGTTTCCACTCACCAGGGCAAGCCATTTGGTACCTATTTTTGACCCACAACCCTTGGCAGCTTTCTGCCCTTGCTCCCAACACGAAACCTGTCGCACAGTTGGACGTCGGCTTGGGTATGGGTCAAAAATGGGGCAACCCCAACATGGCTGGCCCAGGGAAATGGGTTTCATTTTGACCCATGCCCATGTGCGTGTTGTTTCTCAAAATAAGGGTCTCCTAACATGGTTGGTGTCCTTTTGGTGCCCCTCTTCTTTTCAAAAGGGGTCCGCCATTTTGAGAAACTCTCATGTGGCCATGGGTCAAAAACCCGTACCCCCAGTGAACATACCAATCCCCACGAAAATAGGTTCTAAAATGAGTGGTGCAACCACCCCAAAATGGTACCAAACGGTTTTGACCCACAGCCATGCAAGCGGAGGAAGGCTGCTAAGCCAACCAGCCGCGAAAATCGCGGCCGGCCACCGTCGAAGCGTCGAACCACGTGCCTTCTCCACAGGCTTGCCGGCACAGAGGTG